GAGCAGGGAGCCCGATGCGGAACTCGATCCCGGGACTCCAGGATCATGACCTGAGCCGAAGGCAGTCGCTTAACCAACTGAGCCACCCAGGCGCCCCGGGTCTGTATTTTTAAATAATGTCATTGAAAATGGATGTTACGGAAGGAAAAAAAAAAAGCCAGTATTGTTTTCAGTGAAATCTAAATCACTCCAACACTTAATGTAAATGAAACATGTTTTTTCATCCAAGTATTCAGATATAGGGATGGCTATATAAGTCATGCCAAACAAGCAAAGCACCATAAAGTGACATAATGTTGTTTAAAATTTTCAAGTATCTTAAAGAAAGAATAGTCTGAGCTGTTTCATGTTACAGCTTAGATATATTTATGTTTTAAGAATGTTAATTTTAAAATAGACCCCACTTAGTTTAACTCTATCAGAAATATAGTTTAAATCTTTAAAAATGTCTGTTTCTTAAACACTCATAAACTTATTTCATAATGCATGATTTTCTCTCTCATGTTGGTTTCAACCTTAACTATCCCTAGAAAATAGAATTCAAAATTTACTAATTATTCTTATTATAGAAGATAGTATTTATGTCACATACACCTTTAACCAAAACTAGCTTTATAAATACAATATGTGCAAACATCTACCTAATGATACTACAAGAATGGTATGAAATTATTTTACGTATATGAAAAGAAAATTCTCTGAAAACATTCCCCTCAGAGAAAAGATAAAGGTAAAGAAATAATATAAATAGTATTAATTAAAATTCTTATACTTACAAATGCTGCCAAATTTAGGATAGTTAAATTATTCTTTTACTTCTAACAATAACTGTTTAAAGGAATGTACAAGTAATGCTTTTTAAATCAGTTGGCCATATACTGTAATGTTTTGCTTTTCTACAGTTTGTGCTTTTTATTTTTACATTTGTATGATCCTTTTAGCTGAAAATTATACCTTTAACTTACACAATTTACTCATCATTTTAATTATTTCTTTTTCACATTCTCAAGTTACTTTATAAGATCAGGAGGGTGATGATTTTTGAATTTTTGAACCCAGTCAATATAATTTATTAACTTGGACTTTTCCACAGTAATTAAATAATTATAGATTTGAGTACATAATTCTAATAACATTTAAAATGTAAGCCTCATTTTAAATTACATTAGCCCTAAAAGCATTTGAATCTTTGTAAATAATAGTAATTATTAACAAATAGTGATAAATAAAATCAGCAATCTGTGAGAACACAACAGATTTCCATTTTTCTTTTTAAAAAGTGCCTATAATGTGATATCAAAATTAGGAAATGACATCTTCTTTCCATTAGACATGTGATTATTTTACAGTATGTGTTGACTTCCCTCTATCACACCAGTTTAAGAGTTTGGTTAAACCCCAAAACACAAAACAACCAGAAGATTGTAATGCCGTACCTAATACTTTCTAAACTGGCTTTGGAATAGTCACCACTTCATCACATTCTATTTCATTTTATTGTCTTTTCATGAAAAGGAAAGTCTTCCACTAACTGGTAACATAACATTATAAATATAACCTCCCTACTACAGAGCTATAATTTGAATTTTTGACTGCCACTCCTGCTATGCAACTGTCATCTTCTTTATATGATGAAGAAGAGCATCTTTTTCCAAGTGAGCCTCTGCAAGAGCCATTTTAGCTTTGGCCAATTCCTGTTTAAGAGATTCATTCTCTTCCATGAGCTGAAATGATAAATTTGGAAAATAAGAGAATTTAATCATTTTCAGAAAATACATACTGTTCATATAGTACCTAAAGGTGTGAAACTTGGGAGAGTAAAAATACCCAATACTGGTGAGAGTGCACTTAAGCTGAAATTGCTTTGAGAAGCACTTTAAAATGTTCATAAGTTTTGACCCAGCAATTTAAAACAAGAATTCACTCCTAATTTCCAAATCTAATAGTGATTTTGTTTAATTTCAGTTTCTCTAGACCTCTCTGTGGTTTTACACATTGCTGACCTTGCTCCTCCTTCCTAAGCCTCTCTCTTTCGCCTCTTATGCCTCAGCTCTTTCATGTTTATCTCTTTCCACCTACAGACTTTTCTTCTTTTCCTCTGCTGTTTAAGAACCATTAGATTTTACTATGCTGTTAGATTCCATAATTGGTCATCTTATCACTTGAGTCACTCTCTTAGATGATCTCATCTACTCCTATGGCTCTATCACATAACTCGATCCAGCACGAACTTCCGTCTTGAGCTACAGACCCATATTCTGAATATCTTATTAAATCTTTTCATCTAGATGGCCAATAGGTCTCCCTCCCCACATTAAGACTCAGCTCAAGTACATTATCCTCTTGAACTATTCTCTAACTCCTACCTATGAAGACTTAATGATAAAATTAAGAACTTTCTCCCCCCAAAATACATTTATACAGATATATTAATATATATATACATTTAATTTCAAAGAGTTCTCAGGCTTCTTTTAGTCCCAGCTTACAAATTCTTGCCTTATAGACCAAGTTGGGTATTTCCCTGTATTTCTCCAATCTCTAGCACAGCACTTGACACAGTATGTTATAACCTCAATTACACACCCCCAACTTTTTAGTTTCTTGAAAGAGATGATATATTGTTCAATTTTACATTCTAGCTCAAAGTTGACATCCAAAAAATTCTGGTGAACAGATGAATGACTTTGGTTCTACCACAGAGAATTAAAATTCTACTGGATATTATAATAACAAAAAGAACAACTCAAACGTTAACATGTTAACAAATATTAAGAGGAAAGGTTAGAAATGACAGTATATTCACATCATGTTACTCTGCCATTAACAATAAATATGAAGCATATGTAGCAATATGGAAAAATATCTGTTAAACCATGTTAAGTAAAAAAATATATAGTATATATACTAGAATAATAATTGTTTTGAAAAATTATGGAAAAGAGCCTGAAAGGAAAAAATTTTTTAAATATATTGACAGCACTGCAGAAAGTTAGAATGCATTAAAGTTGTTTAAAAATATTTTTATAGTACTTTTGCAAACTTAACAATAAGACAACAAAATGAATATATCCTCCAGGAATCTTTTCTAGATTCCAGGAACTAGTACTCACCCACATTTACTCCTCTATCTTTCCATTAGACTATTCAACCTCTGTGAAGATTGGGAATGTTTCATTCTTGCTCAACACTATTCCCATAGCATCTAACACAGTGCCTGGGCAAACACTCATAAACAAGCACTCAAGAAACATTATTTAATAAGTAAATAATGTTTGAATTTTTAGTATATTTCTTTTAATTGCCAGAACTGAATGAGAAATTAGTTTTCCCATTACCTGTTCCCTAGTAAAATCAAAGGAGCACTCAGGAAAGTTAACTGACTGAGAAGGCCAAGGAACCTCTGGACTCGTCTGAGTGGCTTGAGTGACACTATGTTGTTTCTTCAGATCATACTTCTCACTGGTAAGCAGCACTGAATCACTTTTGACTTTTTTTTTCAAATCATTTCCAGTGTTAAGCATCTGAGAATCTGATCAAAGAAATAAAATGCTCAGATAACATTGTAAAATACATGATAAATATTAAGTTCTATTGTGAAAAATTAATTTAAAAAATATATAGATCTCTATTAGTATGAAGACATTATTATTAAATAGAAAAACAATAAAGTCAATAAAACCAAAAACTTGTTCATTGAAAAGATAAACAAAATCAACAAAAGTTTAAATTGACAAAAAGGAAGTTACTAGAATCAGAAATTAAAAAGGTGACATTACTATCAATCTTACAGAAATAAAAATGATTAAAAGGAATACTATGAAATACTATGAAAAATAGTAAATTAGATAACTTAAATGAAACAGAATAATTATCCAAAATACAAACTACCAAAATGGACTCAAGAAGAAATGGACAATGCAAATACACATATAGCAGGTAAAGAGGTTGAATCAAGAATCAAAAAAACTAACCACAAATAAAATTAAAAATTAAAAATTAAAAAATTAAAAATAAATAAAAATTAAAAAAAAAACAAAAAAACTAACCACAAACCAAAAGTCCACGCTCAGATGGCTTCAATGGTGAATTATATCAAACATTTAAATATATTATTTAAATATATTAATTATAAATCTTTACAAACTTTTCTAAAAATTGAGGAGGAGCATTTATGAATTCATTATATGAAGCCAGACAAAGAAACCATAAGAAAAGTAAAATCAATATGCTTATAAATATGAACATAAAATCCTCAACAAAATATTAGCAAACTGAACCCAGCAATATATATAAATAATTATACACCATGGCCAAGTGCAATTTATCCCAGGAATGCAAGAGTGATTTAATATCCAAAAGTCAATTAATGTAATAAATCACATCAATACAATAAAACAAAAGCCACATGATCATTTCAATAGATGCAGAAAAAACTTTTGATAAAAGCAACACTTTCCCATGATAAAAACACTCTGCAGACTAGGAACAAAAGGAAACTTCCTCAATTTGATAAAGGGCATCTACAAAAAACTCACAGTTAATACCATAGTGAAAGGTAAGAAACTGGACGTTTTCCCACTAAAATCAGGAATAAGACAAAGATATTTGTTCTCACCATTTTTACTCAACATTGTCCTAGAGGTTCTAGCCAATGCAGTTAGGCAAACAAAGTAAAAGGAATCCAAGTTAGAAAGGATAAAATGAAACTATCTCTATTCACAGATGACATGATCTTGTATATAGAAAAAAAAAAAAAAAAACCCTAAAGAATCCACTAAAAAACTCTTAGAACTAACAAATGATTTTAGCAAGGTTGCAGGATACAAGGTCAATATACAAAAATCAATTGTTATTCTCAACACTTATAATTAACAAAACTGAAATTAAGAAAACAATTTATTTAAAATGTCATCAAAAAGAATAAAATACTTAGAAACAAATTTAACAAAAAAAGTATAAAACTTATGCTCAGAAAACTACAAGTTTTCAGTAGTCTCTCTGAAATCAGCCATAGCAACATTTTTCTAGATAGGTCCTCTGAGGCAAGGGAAACAAAAGCAAAAATAAACTATTGGGACTACATCAAAATAAAATGTTTCTGCACAGCAAAGGAAACAATCAACAAAACTAAAAGGCATCCTATGGAATGGGAGAAGATATTTTTATTTATTTATTTGTTTGTTTGTTTGAGAGAGAGCATAAATGGGAGGGGCAGAGGGAGAGGGAGAATCTCAAGCAAACTCTGCGCTGAGCTTGGAGCCAGACGTGGGGCTTGATCTCACCACTCTGAGATCACGACCTGAGTTGAAACCAAAAGTCAGACACTTAACCAACTGTGCCATCCAGGCACCCCTGGGAGAAGATATTTACAAATGACATATCCAATAAAGGGTTAGTATCCAAAATATATAAAGAACTGATACAACTCAACACCCCAAATCCAAATAATCCAATTAAAAAATGGCAGAAAACATGAACAGACATTTCTCCAAACAAGACATCCAGATGGCCAACAGACACATGAAAGGATGCTCAACATCACTCATCATTATCAGGGAAATGCAAATCAAAACTACAATGAGGTATCACCTCATACCTGTCAGAATGGCTAAAATCAAACACATAAGAAACAGTTAAATGTTGAGGAGGATGTGGAGAAAAAGAAACAGTTGTACACTGTTAATGGGAATGCAAACTGGTGTAGCCAATGTGGAAAACAGTACGGAAGTTTCTCAAAAAGTTAAAAATAGAACTACCCTTTGACCCAGTAATCACAGTACTGGGTATTTACCCCCCCAAAACACAAAAACACTAATTCAAAGGGATACATGCACTTCTATGTTTATTGAAACATTATTTACAATAGCCAAACTATGAAAGCAGCCCAAGTGTCCATGGATAGAAAAATGGATAAAGAAGATGTGGTATATAGAATGGAATATTATCAGCCATAAAAAAGAATGAAATCTTGCCATTTGCAACAACATGGATAGAGCCAGACAGTATAATGTGAAGCAAAATAAGCCAGTCAGAGAAACACAAATACCATACGATCTCACACATGTGGAATTTAAGAAACAAAACAAACGAGCAAAGAAAAAAAGAGAGACAGACAAACCAAGAAACAGACTCTCAACTAGAGGAACAAACTGATGGTTACCAGCAGAGAGGTTGGTGGGGGGATAGGTGAAATAGGTGATGGGTATTAAAGAATATACTTATCATGATGAAATAAATAAACCCAAAACTATAACAATAAACCATTTCATACCCACAAGATGCCTATAATCGAAAAGTCATATAATAATGAGTGTTGGCAAACAAGTGAAGTTGGAACCCTCAAACACTGCTAGTGGAAAATATGTAGGATGGTGCAGCCACTCTGGAAAACAGTCTGGCAGTTCCTCAAATGATTAAAAATAGTTACCATATGTCCCAATAATTCTATTCTCAGATATATACCCAAGAGAAACAAAAACTTATACAAACATTTACAGTAGTATAATTCATAATCGCCAAAAAGTAGAAACAACCCAAATGTACATCAAGTAATGGATGGATAAACAAAATGTATATGCCCCATATAATAAATATATTATTTGGCCATACAAAGGAATGAAGTAATAATATACGCAACAACACTAATGAACTTTGATAATATCAAGTGAAAGAAGTCACAAAAGACAGTAATACTGTATGATTTCACTTATATGAAATGTCCAGGATAGGCAAATCTACAGAGATAAAAAAAAAATTAATGGTTGCCTAGGGTTGGAGAAGGATTGGGGAGAGACTGCTGGTAGGGATGGGAGTTTTTTTAGAGTGAAGAAAATGTTCTAAAACTGTGGTGATGATTGCACCATTTGTGAGCATACTAAATACCACTGAGTTATATATTTTAATTGGGTGAATGGTATGGTATGTGAATTATATCTCAAAAATGCTTTTATTAAAAAATAATTATAAAAAACAAGGCACGGAATATCTTCACACATCGACATATTTTCTTACTTTTTGGATTACACATAGAGCACTTTAGGTTGCAAGGGAAGAGAAGCCCAACTCAAAAATTGCTTTTAAAAAAGAAAATGTACCTAAAACTAATGTAATACTATGTGTCAATTATGCTTCGTTAAAAAAAATAATAATAAAATAAAATAATGTTTTAAATAAAAAAGGAAAAATATTTGACTCTAACAGGGAGTCCAAGTGATGGTGCTTCAGTCATGGCTGGATACTGGGATTCATAAGATGTCTTCAGGACTGTCATTTTAGGAACCTGACTCTCTATTTCTCAAGTCCACTTTTCTTTTCCTTTGTGTTGGACCAGTTATATGATGGCAAAGGTGGCTCAAATAAATAAGTTCTACAGCCTGTGACCCTTTTTCTTTCAGTGTCCTTATCAATTCACAAAAAAGACTCAACACTTGGGTCACAGTCAACTCATGTACCCCTCACCATGTCCCAAAGGCTGAAGTCTTTTGACTTGTCAAGCTGTGTCCTATTCCCACTTTTTTGATAGGGTCACATGATTGTCAGGTCCACCAAAATAACATGAAATGAGAGAACGGCAGTTTGCCAAATCAAATTATATTGAATGGACTAGAGAGCAATAATTTTCCCCTTAAAAAGACTCCAAGAAGTGGATAGTTAAAGTCAAAGAACAGAAACATTTTTTAAAGCTTTTGTTCACATTGCCAAATTACCCTCCCTTATGATTCTCTCAATTTTACCCCTATTCTATATACATATAAATTGGAATAGTTCTATCTACATGGTTAAGTGCCATCAAGTTGTGTTTTGGTCTGTTCTTGGCTTCATTTTACAGTGGTCTCAAATCAGAAACTATTTTTTATAATATTGTCTTGCATCAATTGTTTTTAATAGTGTAAGTAGAAAAAAAAACTACAAAAACTGTTGTACTGGCTCCGACTAGCATACCATTCAGCTTGGTATTGACTGTAAGAGAAACCTAAAACACTAAGCCATGGGAAAGCCAAGTTGTCCAGTCTTTCAACCATAAAAAACTAATAATTTAGTAATTTTATAACATACTTTCATTCTCAAACTTTAAAGGAACAAAACTCCTTTTAAATGAAATATGACCCAGAACGTTTATAATATAAACTAAAAATAAGAGCTGAGTTACATTGACTATAGTTAGGATAACAGACGACCCAGGACTCAATTCTATTTAGCTTACATCCTACTACATGGGATATTAAAAATAATGAAAAATCACAAAATCATTCTGAAACCCATTTACTTCAATCATTGGGCGATGGAATGAGAAAAATGGGAAGGAGAGGGACAGAAGGGAAGAAGAAGACATATGGGGAAAGGGAAAGAAGGAATGAGGTAGAGAAGGAAGGGGGAGAGATAGAGAGTGGAAGAGGTAGGGGAGGAAGGATGGGAAGAAAGGAAGAGGGATGTATGGGGTAAGGGGAGTTAAAGAGGGACGGTAAGTAGAGAGGGGGAGGTAGGAAGAGAAAAGGAAGAGAAAAAAGGAAGGAAATGGGAAGAAAGGAA